GAGCTATCTTGGCCAGTTCATCATGTCTACTTTTTGGTTCCCACATTACATTACAATACTCATTCATATGGTAATCTAATCACCTTGGCTTTAGGCAACATCCTTCCTCCTGTCTTTCTCCCAACGTCCATCATTAAAACTGAATTTGTCACCTCATCTCCACACCCACAAAGTTTCACATTTCTATGGACATTCTCACATAGAGACCACTATATAGGTCTGCCCCTAGACTTTCCTCTTTGCCCCATGCATCTGAGGAAGTAGGCTCATGTCTACGAAAGCTCATGCTACTAACTCCTCTCTTTCAGTTAGCCTCAAAGATTATATAAGCTCCCTTTGCATACTGATTTTCCAGACTAACATGGCTATGTCTTTCAATTTGTGCCAAGGAGTCTCAAATTCAGGAGACCCTACCACAGCTACTAGGAGAATACAGTTGTGGCATGTTCTTGCCGCTCCCCATTAAAAAGTGTCACAATAGGGGTGCTAAGAGCACATGCTAGCAGTTTCACCTCACATGGCAGCTAAGCTCATTCCTGGAAATTGACAATTTGGTGATACAGATTCATGCACTGATAAAGTCTAGATTGGATTACCACTGATGAGAGCATGTACCAGCAGTAGAGGGGACAATTTTCCACCCCATCTCTACCGAAGGATGCTAAAATGGAGGGGGCAGAAGTAAAATCAAAAGTGGAAGTAATCCAATCAGACATTTGGTTTATTATTGTTTTGGGGGGAGTTATTAGGTATGGGAGAGGGCTGCACCTTTTTTAATGCAGTGATGTACATTCTACTCATCATGGTTAATAATAATAATGCATCAAGGAATCAGTGTGGAAGGAAATCTTTAACAGTAGCCCTCCACACAAGCACACAAGTGTGCTTTCTTTTAGTATAAGATTTCCCTACCTCACCTCCCACAAGACAGCAAATTGCCAATATCATGGATAAATATATATTTTGGTTCTCATTGAAGGATTTTAGGAAGACACACAGATAATTGCCCCATCATGCTTACATTCTGAGGACAATGGGTATATACAGCATCTTATCCAGAGATAAGACATTTAGGCTCCCCCCCCAATGTTCTGTTTGTTTCAGGCTTTGACAACACCTCTAATTATGTAAAAAAAGTCTGAGTCTGGACAAATAGAAAGGCTGATAATCATGCAAATAACCTCTAAAGGTATACCAAAGTATTTATTGTCTCAACAGCTATAGAAGCAAAACCAGTAATAAATTATGCTATGTAGATAATATGAAAAATAGCCTGAGAGGTCAACCATCTGTTAGGTCATTCCTCTGTTACAGACTGAGACACAGAAGACAAAAAACATTAACCATGTACACACAGCAACTCTGTTAGTCTGCTCTCCCCACTACAGAGCTGGGTAACTCTAATTCAAAAGACTCTCCAAGCTCTTTTGGGAAGCGCAGAGTTAAGTGTGGTAGTGGTGGTGGGGTTGTCCTTGGAGCATATTTATTTTCTTTCTTACTCAAAATAGAAAAGTCATCTGATGAGGCTGTCTGACAGCACATCACCACCTCTGGAAGTCACTTATCACAATATCTCGAGACAGCTGATAGCTTTCAAAGTTGGCTTTCAGAGGAGACTGGGCAAATTCATGAGGAACAAGTCCAGCAATCCCTGTAAACCATGGTGGCTGTTTATCATCTTTAGATGTATATTTGCACTGTACAATTATGGCCATTCTGATTGTGGCTCAGTGCTATAGAACTCTGGGATTTGTAGTTTGCTGAGGTTCATAGAGTTCTCTGCTAGAGAGCTCTAATTCCACTCCCCTGAACTACAGTGCTAGAACTCTGTGGCACAGTATGTTAAGTACCTCCTCATGAAATTTCAAATTCCTGGATTCTCTAGTTCCATGGCAGTTACAGTGGTATCAAAGCACTATGACTTGTCAGTGTGAATATACCTCAGGTTTAGAGCAAAACAATTCTGCACTCACAGCTGGGGAAAGCAGCAGGCAAGGGTTTCCAGCACCACTCAGTGGCTTCTATGTGGCAAAATGTCAACCATAGAAAGAAATAGGATGCTGGCCTTTATTCTGATCCAGCAGGGCTCCTCTTTGGATCATATGAAACACCTACCATGCCTGAGCAGAGCTGCATCTTCACTGTAGAAATGATGCAGTTTGACACTGCTTTAACTGCCATGATTCCATTCTATGGAATCCTGTGAGTTGTAGTTTGTTGTGGCACCAGAGCTCTTTGTTGTAGCACCAGGGCTAAATATGCCACAAAACTACAAATGTCAGAATTCCACAGCATTGAGCGATTTCAGTTAAAGGGGTGTCAAACTCCATCATTTCTGCAGTGCAGATGCAGCCCTGGAGATTGATGTTTCAGCCATGCAGCTGTCCAAAAATCCTCACCTACCTATTTCATCTCCTAGAGAAGAATTCAATATGGCACCTGCAGACATCACAACAGCACAGCTTCCAAACCCATGTGGGTACAGTTTACTCAGAGAAATCCGGGGCACATGCTTTTCCCATCCAAGAACAGAGAAAGGGGCTTCTTTGCCGTCAATAGTTTGGATGTTCACCCGTGCCTTGAGCTCACAGAAGAGCTGTTCGGAAGTCAGCTTGGAGTTTCGCTTTCCTCTAAATCGTACTCCATGCTTATTGGTATTCAGGTAATCTTTCATTGCTTTCTGAAGGCGAGGATTCAGCATCTTGGAAGAGACGTCTCCTTTCCAAAGCCTGTACAGGAATGATTTTGACATTGTAGAATATATTCCATCCCATTCATCAGACTCTTCAAACATTTGGCTCCTTCTGTGTCTTACATGTCTTCTCTTTATCTTTCTTTGAGAGAGCCAATTATTCTGCAAAGCATTTCTCTTCTGATCCACCCCCTCTGCAGAGATTAATTTCACTATTCGCTGCACACTGCTCTGTGACTGAGGCTGACCAGCAGCAAATAAATAATCACTATCCCTTTGATAGAAAGCACTTTTTGATTTTCTTCTTAATTGGGAAGGAAAAAATTCCTCCTCACTTTCAAAGTCATCGTCTAGGTCAGTCCACTTTTTAATGCTCCCAGTCCCTGATTTAAATGAGTCTAAGACATCATCGCTGAGCAGCACCTCATTTCCAGCTCCTGTTTCAGAAAAGGATGGGTCATGTATTGCTCCCATGATAGCTCGTTGTTTGCCCTGGATGGGCAAAAGCCTTTTGGTCTCAATGTAAGTAAAGGAACTGGGGACTGCGTCAGCAGTGTTGCTATCTGCAAAATAGATGAAGATCACCAGGAATAGGAGGCCCCATGCGAATATTCCAAATAGCATTACTTGTTTCCATTGCTTCAAGTTAGGTTTCATGGCAATGTCTGTGCCAACTCCTCTGCACCTTAAAGGTCTGGTAAAGGGAAATCAAGCCTAGAGGGAGGAAAAGAAAAAAAATCTGTAAAGTTCTCAAATTGTTTTTAAATGTAGCATAGAAACATCAAGATATTTGCTACAAACAGAACTATAATGACAAGTATTACTATTTGCTGCCCTGAGATCTCCAGATATAGGCAGCAGAGGTGTCACTAGGGGTGTGTGGGCCACATCAGGTGACACTCTAAGGGGGCTGACACCACAACTTCCCAAACACAGCCTTTTGGCAAAAAACGGGTTGTGGCATTTGCCTTCATCCTTTTAAAATGCTGAAGAGATGGGATGAGTGGGGTAAAGCTCAGTAGGAGGAGAAAGGAGAGGCCCCAGTTTTTTTTTAATATAAAATTTAATATTTTAAAATGTTTTATTCTTTTAAAATTTTCTTTAAAAGTATTACATCCCACCAAATTTTCCCTTTAACCATATGAAATTATGTGCATGTAAATATATTTAGGCTGAGAATATGATATTCTAACTTAAAGGTACAATTTTAATTTTGTGAGTCGTTTATGTCACAATTATTACCATTACATTCAGTGATATACAGGAATTATGATTTGTAAGTCACATTCGTACAAAAAACATTGCTAAGGATTCTGTATCGTGTGGGATGAGAGGAGGTCATGTGGAGGTGACACCATGAGTTACTGGATCCGGTGACACCAACCCCAGTGACATCACTGTAGGACAGGATATACATATTTTAATAAAGAAACAATAAATATTAATTAGAAAGATCTGTGCAATGCTAGTCTATGGAGCTTATCACTCCACTAAATAAAACATCTTACCTCTCCTGAATTCAGTTCTAATTCGGGTGGCATCCAGACACTATCACAGGGATTTTGCCACCGAATCTTCCTCCTGAATACAGCCCGGGTCCATTCTTGGTTTCAGGAGCGCTCTGGTGGCCATTTTCTTATGTCGGAAAACTCCTGGTTTGGAAAAGTGGCATGTTCAGTGTGCCAGGGTCCCGAGCTTGACCCGGGCTGTATTTGGGCAGCAGATTTGGTGGCAAAATCCCTGAGATAGTATCTGGATGCCGCTCTAATTAGAATTCAATTTGGGAGAGGTAAGACGCTTTATTTTAGCGGCGCAATAAGCTCCTATAACTGAGAAGGGAAATTTGTAGGGAAAGGTTAACACTTTGTTAGTGAATTCTTACAGAGACAGATACTAAGCTCACTGTTAATGAAACTGTTAGCTATTTTTCTCTGAACTTTCCATCTGTGAGCTAAAGGAAGCAGACCGCTTTCTTTCACAATAAATATTACACCCAAATTATTTGTAGCATAGTATTTTCAGGGTTTTTTTTTTAAAGTTCTTTCAACTTATCATAAATTATTCCCATATCAGGGTAATTTCTGTAAAAGGACGCATCCCCTGAAAGAAAATATCCATATAAATATTTATTACTTGTCAAAGAAATAGGCCTATAATGGACTTTCATTGCTGTGTGCCTTCAAGTCATTTATGATTTATGGCAACCCATGGGGGTTTTGTGGCAGAATTTGTTCAGAGGGGGTTTGCCACTGCCTTCCTCTGAGGCAGGGAGGATGTAACTTATCCAAGGTCTCCCAATGGGTTTTCACAGCAGAGCAGGGATTTGAACTCTGGTCTTTCAGTGTCCCAGTCCAATGCTCAAACCACTTCACCACACTGGCTCTCCAATGGGCTGTCATACATGCAATATTTGAAGGCTACAACTCTGCATGTGTACTCAGAAGCTCTAATGCATTCAATAGGGCACATGCCCAAAAGTGTATACATGATTTGAATCCAAAAGATCCAACTCACTAGAAACATTTGCAATAGTCTGACCAGGAAGGAGAAACATGTGATTCCTTATATATTGATTAACTGCAACTGTCATCAACCCTAGCCAGCCTAAATAATAATTAGAGATTGTGACAGTTACAATCTAACATTTTTGGAGGCCTATTCTTCATCCCTGAGTTACACTAAAGGGCTAGAAATCAGAACTCTAATTCAATTTGATGTATCAATAAATAATGCCATGAAGGCATAAAAGATTAGCCCAGCTGCTATAGGGGGCCTTTGCTATCCATGGGGGATCTATTCCAGGCCCCCGTCCCCCATGGATAGCGAAGACATGGGACCTCAAGTTGTCTCCAATTGGC